TGCTAACTTCTCTACATGCTAACTTCTCTACGTGCTAACTTCTCTATGTGCTAACTCCTCTACATGCTAACTAGGATGTCGATGGACAGATGTTCCCTCAAATGTGTCAGTTATGAGTGCATGCTAGCAGTAGCTATAGCGCACATCAGCAGGGCCCCACTAAAGAGTTTCTGGGGCAGTGGTGGTGGGGCCCATCGGGGCCAGATATTTATTTTCATGGTACTCAGAGGGTAAACTGTGACTCTCTAGCACCACCACCAGGTCAAAACCACTAATCACGGTCTCACAAGAAAAATCACTACCTACTGTGGAAAATAGAGGAACAACAGGGAATGGTGGATGGAACAAGAAAAGTCTTTCATTAAGAAATGATGTGATGATATCAAGCAAAAGGATCAAATGAGCATTTTAACTGATTCAGGAGACGCTGACCCACTTCAGACGGAGATCAGCCCTGAGGAGGAGAAGAAAGTGAGCGTGGCCTCATTTCTCCTCCTCTCACCTCCCGTCACAGCTGGGAAATCCTGCAGCTCCGTCCTTGGAACGAACTCATCCAGCTCCGACACCTTCTGTCGGAACAGAACTGGGCTAATGAGACGTCCCGGCCGGGGAATTCCTGGGAAACATCTGAGCGTTGTGTTGCTCCCTCCGGTGTGGTCGTTATTTCTGAGCAGCCGACGTGTGAATAAAATGTTTCCTCTCTGAAAGCTGCAGATGTGTTTAACACAGCAGACTGATGGAGCGACAACAAACAGGAGAAAATACGGAAACGTTTGAATAAATTCAACATTTGTGTTTTGGTCAAATCATCCCAATCGCCCCCTGGTGGCAGCAAAGGTCGTGAACCCCTCCCCCTCCATGGTAGATTCCTCGTTGCTTCACCGGAGCTGAATTAATTCATCAAGCTGGTTTTAGAAGCAGAGCGGACGGAGTGCAGTTGCAGCTGAGAGGACGGAGACGGGACACGCCAGCGGGCAGAAGACGTGTCATCACATGAGGACACACGGTGACCAGAGGACGATGAACAGAAAGAAAAGTCAAAGAAGGTTTCATGATATTCTAGAAGAAGACATGAGTTTAATATGTGTTTAATAAAATACACTCGAGGTTAGGACAGATTCAGACAAGCTCATTTTACTAAGTAACTTCTAAAACACAAACCTGTCTCCTAACAGCTTCAGCTGATACGAAACAGCCGCTGCTGCATCTGTACGTTACGATCCATCGTGTCACTGTCTCTTTAATAAGGCGGAGTTTAGACACACCTCTGACACACCCACCAACAGAGAGGAAACAAACTGAAGCCTTTGACTGCAGCTAAGCCACGCCCTCTTTTTCAGAGAGCATGGCTGACCGAGGCGAGGAGGAAGTGTGAGAAACATTTGAATCATTAACTGTTTTCTTTCTCCGTCACATATTTACAGAATCATCACCGAGACAGATTCATTAGATCCTTGGAGATGGAAGGATACATTCGAACGAGCCTTCGAACCGGGACAGAGATCTCTGCTCGTACTTTTTAACTGTTCCTTGTTCGTAACATTTTCTGTAACTAAGCAACCAACTGCAGAGGAGACAATCTACCTCCTGTTTACATCACATGACCAGTGAATGTTTTCAGGTGTGTGTGGATATTAATATTTATTATATTTCTGATAGGGAGCGGAAACGCTTGTGTGGAAGATTTAGTTTGTGTGTGTGTGTGTGAGATAATGTTCTTTGCTTTAATTAACAACCTTCCATTATCACAGTGTCTCTCTCTAAACGTGTATTTAACATCATATCCAGGTCGTCAGAGACAGATTCTCAGTCTCCACTGACTCTGTGTGAGTTTCACTCACGTCGTTGCTGATTTGTGTGTTTCTGGAACACAAGAGGAGCGGACGAGAGGTGGGTTGAGCTGTAAGTGAGTGGAACGACGCAGGTTCTCTGGGGAACCTCAACGGGCCGGAGAGGAAAACAAGGACGTTAAGTAGGACAGGAGATTTATCAGTGGAGCTCAACACTGTGTTTGTTGGATGTCAGAATAAAAACAGAACCTGAACCAGGTGACGGCTCGTCTTCATCGTGGCCAGTTAACCTCCGTCGAATCTACTTTACACAGCGAAGAGACGATTGTTGGGTGAAAATCACGAAAATGAAAAACACAACAAATAAGAGCGTTGAGCAGATTCAGCTGCTGTTTGCTCTCAAATCGTCTTGGTCCAAACAGCTTCTTTCAGGTTCGCTTCGTGTCTCTATGAAACTCCTCCTCTCTCTCTCTCTCTCTCTTTTAATCTGCACCATCACCACAGGTACATCTGATGATTTCCTGCCTCGCTGACTCCACCACTGACCTGAATTCACCATTTGATGCCTCCGGCTCCGCAGCCAGGAAAAAAACTAACTGGAGCATCACATTTACATTTTACTTTTTTAAGAAGAAATAAAAAGGGGTTCTTTCCCAGACAGATGGAGAGAGAAAGAGAACGAGACAGAGAGAGAGCGAGAGAGAGAGAGACAAGGACAGTTGAACAGGAAACATTGGAGGAACCTGTGAGGTCAAAGGTCACAACACGCTGCCAGTATCAGAGCTGTGCTCCATCAGAGCAGAGCGTCAGGGATAAAAGTGCACATGAGAAAAGGTCGAGTTATCAAACCGCTCCGAGGAGTTTGCATCGGTTCATATTTTTACAAGTTGAAGCGTCTGATGGTTAAAACAGTGAAATGAATCGATTCAGATTGAAGCTGCAGAGATTCGACCCGTCGGCTCTGGAGGAACATGAGGTCACAGAGGTGGTGACACATTCTGCTCGTATGATCATTTTAATTAGTGTAACGAACTTAGTGTTTCCATGCTCTCTGCTGTGATCGGTCAGTCGCTTCCAGCACGTGAAGGAAATGTCACTTTACCTGATTTTCATCTGGAGGTGTTTGAGGAACAAGGAGCTTTACCACATACTGCTTTTTAACTTCACAAAACTTTTATACATTCACAAAACTACCCTACAAAACAGTCCAGAGGAGAAACATTGAAAAACATCATGTGTCTGATTTAAACATGTTTAAAGTGTTTCAGATTTAGGTGAAAGGATCTATTGTTTATTGTATAGAAACTCATTTACCCTAGAATCTTATATTGAAATACTTTATGTTTACAGCAGGAGCGGGTCCTCTCTATGGAGGCCGCCATGTTTCTGCGTAGAACATAGATTCAGTCGATGAAACATCCTAAAAGCCAAATCTACATCTGTGAAACACATTTTGTTGCTGGTGTTCTTTTCTCTCAGGTTTTAAATGTGATGGAGGAAGAAAAGAGAAAAACCTCTGATGTCAAATCTAATCTGCAAACATCTGTGAGAGAGAGGAACGTCTGTGGCTCCCAGGTCAGTGATTTTATTCAGTTGCCGTGACATTTGAAAAGACCACTCTGACCCACAGGAGAATTTACTGCATGACTGATTCTCAGAGTGATGACGGTGAGGTACCAAAAAAAAAACAGCCCGCGGGCTTTTCACCGGCCTGCATGAAACCTACTGATGCACGTCTGGGTTTTTAAGGTGGTGCACAGAGATCACGTTGCATGTGGAGGAAAAAACAACTTTCCACTGAAGCAACATTTTTGAGTTTCCTGAAGAATGATGAAGCAGTGCATTATGGGAAACATCAACCACCAGGTCTCGCCTCCTGGTTCTACCACCACAGTTCCTCTCCTCCGCTGCTGCGGGTGCTTGCCCGCTCGCGCCCCTGCAGCCTCAACATCTCCATGACGCTCCTGGCGTAAGCATCCCTTAAGTTCACGCCTCCCCTGACTCCTCCCTCCCCTGTCTCCCCCATTGAGCCCTGAGCCAGCCTCTTGAGCATTTCGCCATGCCGCATCGCCGCCTCCTTCATCTTCAGGGTGAAGTAGCAGGCAGAGAAGCGGTCGTTGATGATGGCGATGGGCAGCGCCAGGATGAGGATCCCGGACAGGATGCAGAGGAAGGCCAGCACCTTCCCCACGACTGTGTCGGGCCGGATGTCCCCGTAGCCGACCGTGGTCATGGAGGTGGTCGCCCACCACCAAGCGGCTGGTACACTGGTGAAGGTCGTGCCAGGAAAGTCGTGCTCTAGAGCGAAGACCACCATGGCAAAGATGGAGATGCCGACTCCGAGGAAGAGGAGCAGGAGGCCGACTTCCTCGTAGCACTGAGCGATGGTCATACCCAGAGACTTCAAGCCTGAACAGAGGAGGAAGAAACATCAGAAACAGTTTGTGATCGTCCTGGTTTCCTTCAAACGACTGAAGCCTCTCGGCGAGGAGGAAATAACGAGAGGCAGAAAGAGGAAATGTATAAATACACATACGAGCCGACGTTCACACCCCAGAATGACTTGTCATCTCTTGAGTCTCCCGTGAGAGACAGAGACGAATTCAAAGAGGATCTGACACGAGGTTTGTGAAGTGTTGAAGAAGCAGAGTTTACTGCAGCTGAAGAACAAACGACACTTCGACACGTCTGGAAAGAGTCAAAGAACCGAATCAGAGCAAATCAAATAGCATTGATCTAAGTTTTATATTAAACTGTACAAATTGTTGTTTTCTTTAGCCTAGAAAAGGTCTTTTATATTTTCTAATACTTTATATTTAAATACTTTATATCTTAATACTTTATATTTACATTAAGGGGGTCCTCTCTACGGAGGCAGCCAGGTTTTTTCAGCAGCTCGACTAAATAAACATCAACACTGAAGGAATCCAAACCAGGAGAAGACTACAACTCCCATCATCCCACACTGCTTAAACACAAAAATTGTCATGAATGAGACGCCCCCTAGTGGCAGAAAAGTACACGTTGCACCTTTAAAAACAAATTCCTCGTGTTGACGTCTAAAACGACCTCATGACTGAACCCGACAACGTTTCTATGAACAAACACTTTTCATATTTTTATCCTTCTTTTCTCTCTCACTTTTTCTTTGCTGCATCTGTTCCTCTCCTCTTTCACTCACCCCTCCATCACCACTCTCTCCATTTTCTCTTCTATTATTCATGAGTTGAGTCCAGGGATTATCATCCTTCCTAAAATCACCCAGATCAAAGTGTTCATCCATCCCAGTGTGACACACTCAGAATAATCTCACTCACTCTCTCTCCTCCCTCCGGCTCCTCAAGGAATTTACCAAAATACGAATCAATATTTTTTCTCTTTTCTGAGTCGTCCTTAGAAAACCTCCGGCTATAATCTCACAGCTGCAGCTTCTCGAGAAGAATTTCCATTTTTTCTTTCACATCTTGTAGTTGAAACCCCCCCGACGGGCTGCGGACATGTGTGGAGGGAAAGAGAGTGGAAAACACGTCACAGAGCCGTTAGCAGATTAATCCAGACGAGGCCGTCTGCTCCACAGGTCCCGACATCACTTCAGACTTTTTATCTGAACGTTCTTCTCTGCGTGAACACGTTTCAGGTGCAGTGGCTCCGACAGTTATCCACGGGTTGTTGTTGTTTTTATGTTTGAGTCTGTTTCACTCATTAGTTTTAAAATACCAAAAGAAATGAGAATGTGAATGGGAACGAGATGCCCCTCAGTGTTATATGAGTTCAAAGTCTTTCTATTGAGATGAAATACAACAAGGTCTCCATGAAAAGTCATTATTATTAATGAGTATGGAGCAGCATGATGGGTGATCGTGCCTCTCTCCAACAGACTAGAGACACTTGTGTGAATGTTTGTGTGTCTCTGTGTGTCAGACGTGTGGTAGACGGCCGACATGTCTGACGTGTTCTCCACCTCTTGCCCACGACCCCCCCAGGGAATAAACAGCATAGCTAAACGAGGGATCCTTGTTTACCTGTCGAGTGTCGTCCCAGCTTCAGCATGCGGAGGGACCGGAGGAGTCGGAGGACCTGCACCACGCGGCCCATGTTCTCCAGCTCGGTGGTTCCTCCATGGAGGCTCTCCACCGCCAGCGTCACATAGAAAGGCAGGATGGCCAGCAGGTCGATCACATTGAGGATGTTTTGGCTGAACCGACACTTATCCCTCACACAGAGAAATCGAAGTGCCAGCTCACCCGTGAACCACACCACGCACACGTACTCCACGGCATCAAACAGTAACGGTGCGCTAACTCCAACGTCACTCTCTCCAACGTCCTCCCCTAAGTCCAGCGAGATGAGCACCATGTTGATCAGTGACAGCCCCACGAAGAAAATCGACAGTGAGCTGAAGGTGTGAGCTGCTCGTGATGAGTCAGGTTTCTCCAGAAGGTCCCAAAGGCGCCTGCGGAGAGCAGGGCACACAGCGCCCATAAAATCCTCCTCGTCATCGTCAGCCTCAAACTCTCCCTGAACATCGAGGGTCTCCTTCTGCTCCTTGCGGCGATAGTAACGCTCGCGGCAGCAAGGGTTGATCCTAACTTCGTCGATGCCCCAGTACTCAATCTCCTGCAGGAAGGAGACCTCACACAGCTCCTCCCTGACGTGCAGGTGACCTGTCCTGTAGAAGTTCATCACGTACCTGTTAGCAGAATTACAGAGGACGAGTAACAGAAGACAGGAGAGAGAAATGATACAGTTACTGTGCTTTCTTTGCTTTGCTGTACGACTCGAAATCATTTATCTCAATCAGGACAACTGAATCTTTTCATCCTTTATGGGGGAGAACAAGAAAATGAATAAATCTGGAGTTAGTCTTTGAGTCTGTGATCTGATCTCCATCAGGTGCAATCACATTCAGTACAGTTCTGAAACAAAGTCGTCCCAGCAAGTTAAAGGTCAACTGAAATCTTCAGCCTGTCCATCAAAACACTACAAACTGTTTTTTCTTTCCAGTTCATTCTCATAACTGATTCAGGAAACACCACGACTCTGAGTTAGCAAAGCTCCCTAACATCAACATTAACATTCTCCACCTGGATCAGTAATCGTACCTTGTTTTCATTTTGGAACACGATCACAGTGTGATCAGAGCACTTGAAGTTTCATGTGGACACGTTGGTGAACAGCTGACAGCATCTGTGAACATCAGGTGTTGCTTTGCCTCGAGGCAGAAACACACAGGAAACATCAGGAGAGCTCACAGGTTCGACCTGCAGCTCAGGCATCAGACAAACCACAAACTCCCTGACCTACATTAAGATGAATAAATGATGTTATTTATGTTCCGTTCTTTCATGACGGGATTTGTTTTCTGTGCACACTGGATGTGACGTTAATAACTTTAATGAATATCGATTATCATTCTTCCATCAAAGTTTGTACATTTGTGGAACATGAAAATAAAACGATCAGTTGTATCTCAGGTTGATGCTCAGGTAAATGTCTGAGGCTCTGTGTGCGATGCTTTGTAAATGTTTTAATAACTAATTTCAGTGGACAAGCATTCACACTCTCAGCAGGCCTGCACAGAGGATAGCGGCTAGTTAGCATTGTTAGCATAGCCAGAGTGTTTCTGTTTTAACAGCAGTGTGGTGAGCAGGTGAAGGCGTTCACAGTGTTTGTGTCTTCTGTTCAGAGGACTCGTTCACACTGAAGACAAAAGCTGGATCTTTGTGGTTGTTCCTGCATTTTGTTTGTAAATTGTTGCACCTTTGTTTGTGAGCAGCTTTGGTTTGTGAACCATTATTTTAAAACTATGGAACTTAAAGTGAACACATGCTATTCTCAGATCAGGGTTAGAACACATTTTGGGTAGAAAATAATTTCTCATCTTTGATTGTTGCAACTGGACATTGTCCATGGAAAAGTGAGGAGAGGGAGGTGCCACCTACTGGAAGGTCTGTGAATTTCGGTCAAAGAAGAACTCGTTCTCCAGGAGGTCCGCGTCATCGCAGAGCTCCAGAGCCGAGTCGCGGCTGCTGCAGGCCAATTTCCCCAGCCGGGTCTCCGGGTGGGATGCCAGCAGCTCCTGGGACAGGATGTAGCGACTCCCTCCAACGTTGATGATGAAGAAGTCGACGTCTCTGACGCAGGACACCGTTGTCTCGCTGAAGAAAACGCTGGAGTCCAGAGACACTGGGGAGGTGCAGTCGCCGAAGAGCTCTGCCACCGCCACCGAACTTGAAGGGAGGCTCATGGTGGAGGGAGGGGAGCTGTTGGACGGTTAAAGGATGAGAGACGTCAATAACGGAGCCGTTCATTTCAAAAGGAAGCAAATTAAACTTTATCACTTCTTTGTCGGCCCATGTTCCTGTTACGTTTCGTACTCCCCAACCTAACAAGATGATAATCCACTGACATTATGCAAACATTGAGTGATGGCTCATCGAGATGAGCAGTAGGTGGCGCTGATCCTCCAGTCAGATGCCATTACACCTCTGTAAAGGAAGTGAATTTAGTAACGTGATGAAAAGCTTGGTGACGGAGAACTCAACATTCGTTCTTTACATCATAATTTCTGTCGATACACAAACTTCCCATCTAAACTTTTTGAGACGTAAACTTTTTACCATCCATGTTTGCACATAAAAACAGCTGGATTGAAATGCACCTCATGTTTCTGACTGTGTCTGTCTGTTGCTCAATGCTGAGCAGGTAGTGCACAGTGAAAACTGCTGCCTGCTGTTACTTGTTCAGCTCCTCCCTCCAGATTTGAACGCTACCCCCCTCCTGGGGAACTCGGGTGGAGCTAGACCAGTTTGAAGGGATTATACATCACATCTGATTTGGCGACATGAGGAGATCCTCCAGGAGGAGCAGGTGTTGCTCAACCTGCAGCCTCATCCATGCAAACCCAGATTAACGGAGGAAAATGAATACGAGCATGTTACAGGGAGAATGTCACCATCATGTGATTCAATGCTCCAAGCTTCATTTCCTGTCAGAAAACCCTGAGGACAGACAGAAGCATTTCTTATTGGTGCTATCAGTCAGTCCCAGAAGCTTTACCCATCTCACTCAGGTTGAAAAGGACAGCGGGCTCTGATTGGCTGCAGTCCAGAGCGTTGTCTGCTGTGTCTATAACTCTGGGATTCTCTCATCCAACAAACGGGACCATTTGAAACATAAACCGAGTGAAGTCTGATCTGGGAGGAAGCGTTGTCTGTTTTATGGACTCGTGGAACCTGCTGATGTCAGAAGGGACAGAGACATCCTCATGTTACCTCAGTTATTACAGCACAGCCAGAATCAATCAAAGGGAACAAAGACGGATTCACAGGAGAGTGGACAATGAAGAAGAAAGCTGAGAGACACACAGAAGCAGACATGTAGAACTAAAAGAGACGAAGCGTCAGTCCGTGTCCTACTTGTGGCAGATCTCTGGGTTCTGCCTTATTTAAATATTTTAGCTGGTTTATCTAATTAATAGATCTAAAGCTACTATTGCTGTGATCTTTCTTTCCCTTTTGCCAGCTGTGATCTCACTCACACCCTGAATATTACATGAGGTCATTTGAGCAGAGACAGATTTGGTTTTAAATGTTCCTCAAATTAGTTTTTTACCAGATTAAAAATCACATTGTAGGACTCTGAGGGAGCCGCCGACCCCTGCTGTACCGTTTCCCACCAACAGATGGCTGCGGTGCTCGTCAAATATTTAGCGTTGTTTAGAAAAGTAAACCCTTCTTCTACCCTTTAATTCCTCCGCACCAGATTAGATTAGTTAGAACTTTATTGATCCACACATCGGGGAAACTCACTAGTGACACCCAGTGGCTGGTGTCATTATGTGTTTGGGTTGTCCAGCATCTGTATGTCTCATTCTTGTGAACACAATATCTCAAGAAAACCTTGAGAGAAGTTTTTCAGATTTGGTACAAATATTCACTGAGACTCACAGATTAACTGATCAGAATTGGGTGGTCAAGGGTCAAGGGTCAAAGGTCACAGTGGCCTCACAAACATAAACGTGTCCTCGTGATACATGACATCTCAAGTCTGTCTCGAAGGGAATTTCTTCACGTTTTGTCCAATCTTCGGTTGGACTGATTCGATTTCAGTGGTCAAAGGTCACAGTGACCTCATATGAGTGTGGATAAAAATGTCAGAGAACAGATCTCCGTGTCGACTCTGAGACAAATGTTAACGTTGTAAATATAACCAGGTTCAAATTATAAGAAAATGTTTATCGGTATCTCCAAACAACCTGTGTACGAGACGCATTTAAAACATCGATGACCCAAAACAGCAATAAAAAGACTTTTAGTTTTCAGAGTTCTTCAATTGTTGTTTGGCTGAATCTGAAACTGCCTCTGATGAAGAAACAAGTCAGCGTGGTTCTGTAACAAAGACTTAAGGTTTCAGATTAACAAACATGCTCCGATTCTTTAAGTTGCATTTAGACACAAATGTGATTTTACTGTAACTAAACAAGACGTTCAAAGGGTTTTCAAAAACATTCAAAACTGTAATAATTCAGATTAACTTCTTGTTGAGGAGAATCACACATTTCTCTTATTTTAAAGATAAATGTTATTTAGTTTTCAGTAAATTCAAACCAGAGGCAGTAACATGTAAACATCATGTGTGAGGTCAGATGAAAGGTCATAGCTGGAGGACATGTATGTTCTCACTTCATGTACATGATATTTGATCTAATTTATGTTCCGACAGTGCAGCCGCGTCTTCAGCTGCGTGATGAGACAGAGAGCACGTCGACATTAAACAAGAGAAAACACAAAGTCTGGCTTGGAAACATAAACCTCTGAGATGAATTAATTTCCAGGAGGATTTCAAAGCATTTTAATCTAAAATAAATCATCTTCATGTTTCTGAACAATAAAACAGTTTAAAAAATTAAATCATTTGGAGAAAACAGCCTGTGATTGAAAATCATCAAAATGAAACTGAACAAAAAACTGAATATGTATTTTCTCTGTTTTCTTTCCACTCGTTTGTTATGGAAGAGAAAATGACAGAATCAAAAAATGTACCAATGCATGAAGAATTATTCCCGACAGATTCAGGACAGTCATTATTTCTCAAGTCAACATCCACAGAGAAATTCACTCGTGGTTTATTTTGCAGGATTGTTTTGTTTTTTTAAAGGATTTCTATTTTTATAAAATGTCTCAGAGCAAAATAACTAAATAAATAATAAATAAACATTATTATTTGACTGAATCAGTTACAACCACCTGAAATTCGATGAATAAATCAACAATCAGGTGAAAGACAGACATGTTGATGTAGACGGATGGATCTTACCTGGTCTAGAGAATCTTCAGCATCTTTTTCTCAAGTGAAATCCAAACAAAGCCTCTTCCTCCTGTGTTTTTACTAAATGACGACAGTTTGAGTAAAGTTTGATGTGTCTCCTTTCACCAGCGGAGTCTGGAGGAGGCAGCAGCTCCTGAAGCATCACTTCTCTGCTCTGTGATTCAGGTGGGGGGGGGGGTTACAATATTGTGGAGGAAAGTATGGAGGGCGAATAATGTCACAAAAAGGAGGACGCTCTATTTGCGGGTTGCTACAGCAGACGATAATAAGATGGACGACACTTCTCCAGTTCGGCCCATCGTACAAAAATGAAGCCAAAATATCTGATTGTCCCAAACTGGACCAATCACGTCAAACATTGATTGACATTGATTGATTGACAGCTAAGACAGTTTTTACATCATGAAACAACTGATTAAACCAAACTGAAACATCAGAGAGACAAGAACGAGCTGAAACGACAGAAACATCTTTGACAAACTTTTATTTAACGTCTACTTTGATTAGTTTAATTGGTCCATGTCCCATCTGCTAACATGGAGGAGGAGGTTTATGACACCAGGGGGCGATCAAGACACTGTGGCTTCACTTTGAGGAAGTCATTAGATGTTATTAGATGTTAGAACATAACACAATTGTTAGAGGGATAAAATTATTTCTGTTTCTGGTTTTTCACGTGATGTATCGACATTTTAACGAATTCTAATTGAACAAAACTTTATTGATTACACTGACAGTTCTGAACTCTGAATAATCTGAATCAGAGCGTTTTAGTGAGAGCAACAGCTCAGGTCGTCTGCAGCTCGTTCTCACTGTGCTTGTGGCAATAATCACCCTCCATACACTTTAAAAACCTGCTGCCAGGCAACAACATGGTTTTCTGAACCAAACTTTATTGGAATTAAAAAGATGCTCCACTTCTCCACATCCCTGATGCCACAGCGCCACCATGTGTCCCCTGTGAACCCTTTTATATGTCAACACTTCTGCTCTGATTAATGTTAATGTTCCAGAAGACATTTTATTTGAACACTTACAAATATATCAAATGTTATTTCAACTGTCCAGGGCAAATTAATGTTTCAACCAAAGTCAGAATATCTGGTACAATGTTAGATACGATTTTAGATGAAACGTGATAGAGTACGATAGATGTTAAGAAATGAAACGATAGAAAGGATTTTATACATGATTGTAAATAGTGTTCCATATTTCCTCCATATTGAAATAACAAACAACATGTAAACAGCTCATGTTGCAGCAAATCACCTCCACAGGTTAAACCGATCACACGTGTTAGTCCGGTGTTCCTTCATATCAACGAGAAAGATTGGAAACTAAAAATCAATAGTGTTTTAAAGAAGGTTCTCCATGAATGTAGAATTCAATGTATTGATAATGCTTCAAATAAAATCTAGATAATTATATTTAACTGAATCCAGAATGAACCACTGTTTTTTTCCCTGCTGTGTCTGAGAGGTGGAGAAGTTTGAATCTTTTTTTAGGCGGCTGACCACATGATGCTTTTCTCCAGGGACAATTACAGCTGCACCATCCTGTCAGCTGGACGCTGCTGCTTCTGCTGCTGCTGCTGCTGCTGCTGCTGCTGCTGCTGCTGCCCCCATGTCTCATTATCCAGACGTGTCTGAATAAGGAGCCTGCGGCTGCTCAGGCCTGTGGAGCTGGAACCAGTCTGATTGAGACATGAGACACAGAAAGAGCGGACAGGATGTCGTCCAGGTGGAGATTCAAATCTGAAAGCTTCGTGTCACCCTCGTGTTTTACAGAATGACATGTCAACATGAACTCCACAAATGATGAATGAATAGATGCTGTAAAATGAAATTAATAGAATAACTGAAAACTTCTTGAAAAGCTGCTTCCTGGAACCATGTTCCAGTTTTGAAATGTGAAACACTAACAAGCAGAATGTTTGAGAGACTCTGTCACAGTCACACCAGAGTAACTAACACGTCTATAATCACATCAGATCAGATCATCTTCTTTGGTCGGTTACAGTTGTTACAGCAGCAGAGTCAGAATGAGGTCGACAAGAGAATTTGAAAATGAAATACCTTTCACTACAATTAAAATATTAGTAGTAGTAGTTTTTGAGGGATGATTTACCGAGGATGTAAACTGTATTTTTTTATTATTATATATGCAATAAGTAAATATATGTATATTTATATCAGCGAGGCTTGAATATCTCCGTTCTATGGGTTCCTGCTAACGTGGGGGTGGAAGGGAGTGAGAACGTAGGTGAGAGGAGCAGAGGAGAGAAAGTCTCAGAGTATGAGTCAAACAGGATTAAACTTTATAAAATAGGCAAACACCCAACACTGCAAACATTGGTCACTCATGTATTGATGGAGTAAAAAAATATAATGAAGAAAGAAGGGATTTAAAAGACGAAAAGCTAAATATTCAATTAGACTATTTGTTAGGAATAAACATCATGTTCTACTGAACTACTGAAGAGAAACAGGAAAGAAAAGAATCCCGACACTGTGGAGGCCCTGAGCCGCTCTTTCATTCCCACTGACGACCGACTACAACATCAGGAAATAAAATACTGCACTGGTCATGTACTCTACTTTTACTATTTGCACTATTACTAACAGAAAATAACCAACTTGTGTTTATGTACAAATGTTTTTTCTTCTTGCTCGTGCAATCATCCTGTGCCACTTTACTGATCGAAGCTTTATACAAACCACGACAGTGAAAGGTTATTATTACATTTTCTATTATTTGATTCTACTATCGTTTCTCATGTTTCTTTTCTCTGGTGTGTTCATCTGCTGCTGTCACATCTGTGAGGACCAATAAAGTTTGATCTCTTGTCTACTTGTGCTGCTGCTCCTCCTCCAGGCGGTGGCGCTAATGCTCCCATGAGTAGTTTGACAACCGCCGTTAAGCTCCAGGAGAAGAAGAAGAAGTCGGAGTTAGCAGGAGGAGGCTAGCAGCGTGGAGCTAACAGCACGGAGCTCCGCACAGACACACCCTGACGCCGGGTTCGTTTCTCAGAGTCACCGGTAAACGGTCAGCACCGGGTGAGCCGCTCACACACACTCACACCGCAGCGACACGGAGGAGAGTGTGGGAGTTGTAGTTCTCTCCGGAGCGTGATGGCGGGCTAACGCAGGAGCTAACCGCTTCAAACCGGGGAATCAAGCTGAAGCGCGCGAATCGTCTGTGACGTTTCTCGTGAAGAAGAAAGAGCGCGAACGTTTCCTCTGAACTCTGGAGTCAAGACTCAAACCTCAGACTCAAAGACTCAAAGTAAACTGATTCTGACTCAGCAAGTTCCCAAACTACAAGTTCAACTCAAGCTCCGGCTGTTTACTTCCGTTATTCGATGATTCGATGACGTTTTCAACTCATCTTTAACATCACGTCACTCTGTCAGTCATCACGTCACTCTGTCAGTCATCACGTCACTCTGAAAGTCATCACGTCACTCTGAAAGTCATCACGTCACTCTGACATTCATCACGTCACTCTGTCAGTCATCACGTCACTCTGACATCACGTCAGTCAACACGTCACTCCGACATTCATCACGTCACTCCGACATCATGTCACTCTGAAAGTCTTCACGTCACTCTGAAAGTCTTCACGTCACTCTGAAAGTCTTCACGTCACTCTGAAAGTCTTCACGTCACTCTGAAAGTCTTCACGTCACTCTGAAAGTCTTCACGTCACTCTGAAAGTCTTCACGTCACTCTGTCAGTCATCACGTCACTCTGTCTGACATCACGTCACTCTGACATCATGTCACTCTGTCAGACATCACGTCACTGTGACATCACGACACTGTGACATCACGACAGATGTGCTCAGATCACTGAAGTGTGACGTCAGTTGTTGAGTTCAGCATCTGGCTAACAGACCAAACTGTTCAGTTCCTCTGCAGGTGAATCACTGACCTCTGCAATGAGAAACTTCAGCTGTCTGTTGTCTAAAGTTTAAACTGTCTGTTAAACTGTGTTAGATCAGATCTTCAGTTACTTTGAGAACTGAAGCACATTTGAACAAAATGCTGTTTAGTGTCACTGAGGATTATATTTGAAACACGTGTTGTAATGTCCCGTTGTCTGTATCTGTAATAATAATATAACCAGTTAATAATCCAAAGAGCCTCGAGCTCAGGGCGAATGATATATTCATATTCATACGTGTGAATGATTCAGTTCTTCTCAATGGTCAGAGACACTTCACACAAAGAACTGAGAAAGCAAACAAAAGCTGATGCTGATGGAAAATGCTGATAATGGATATTTGACTTACAATGATTTAGTTGAACAACACTGATCGAGTGTTGAGTTGAGTTTTTGTTGGCTGTCAAATTATTCTTCTAATATTTAATATTTAGATAATACTTGTCCTTAACAAGAGGTCAAACACGCTGCCTCTGTGCGACCGGTCGCTGACACACCTGTAGAACAAGTTCTCTGTAGACTTTAATTTACAGTCTACAGAGAACTTGTTATTTCTGTCAATGAAATCAACGGTGTCGCTGTTTCTACACATGTGGATAAAAGTCTCTGTAAACACGTCTGTCCTCCTCCCGTCAGGACACGCTGACACCCAGACGGACCGAGGCCCCGCAGACATGAGTGAAGTGGTGGAGGAAGCAATGGACAGCTCTGCAGTGTCAGAGGAGGAGGTGGAGGACCAGCAGGAGACGTCACAGAAAGACCCCTCGAGTCTGAATAAAAGTCGAGTCAAAGCACCCGGTAAAGAGACGTTGGACTCACACCTGATGAGATTCTTCTGTGGTGGTTAAATCTGTAATGCCACTTTGAAACACACTCTGTGTTTGACCGGGATGATTCATTCATCCGTTCATACAGGTGCTGTCACTAGTTCACAGTCTGTGGCTCAGATGTCTGGGAGATATAAAACTTCTTCTCCCTCTAAAAGCAGTGCTGGCCAATGGCAGTGAACCGCAGCTGCTGTTTTTGGAGCAGTGAAGAAGAAGTGATTTCTGGGGGGGGAACTGCAGTTTTACATACTCGCTAATGGCCGACTCGCCCTCTGGCAGTATCAGGTGCTGATATTACTTTTGGAACACCTCTGTTGTTTACATTCTTTTCTTTCATTCTCGTTCCAGTTGTTGGTGACATCATTGAGGGCAAGCGGCCAAAGAAAATGGTCGAGAGGCTCGATTTCCAGGCACCCAAGCAAATGGAGAAGCTCAAGATTGGAGACGGTGAATATTCAACTACGAAAGACTCGGCTTCATTCCTGGATATGAAAATGTGTTATTTAAAGATGAGCTATATTTACAGATGTATCACTGCAGGCTGGTTGACTTCACATCTTCTCAGGTAGCGGAGATAAGTTAGGAGACATTCCACGCACCAGCTTCAAGCTCATCAAGATGAAGCCGGCGGATCTGAAGCCTCTTCACACCATCCTGTTCGACCGACCAGGAAAGGTTGGAACATCCGCAGCCGTCGAGATGAAACCTTTTCACCTTCGGTCACTCTCAGTCCCGGTCTCTGATGATCTCTCTGCTCTCTCAACAGATCGCCACAATAAAGAAGAACTTGCGTCTGTTTAACGGGTTTGGTTTTGATGCCGACAGTGAACAATACATCAAAAAACGAGAAAAACTCCTCAAGTAAGTTTCTGTGTGGAAACGTGTCGCCTGGTTGAATCCCAGGTTCAGTGAGCTCCAGTGTTTTCTTTACAGCGACTCTGTCAGTTCAGCAGGATGAAGAACAACGTCCCTCCGCAGACACACATGAGGATTAATCCTGTTGGAAGTGGTTTTCATATAGATTCAGATTACCCATGATCCTCTGCTTCCTGAACCAGAAGAGCTGCCGCTGTCTAAACTGTTTAAACCTTTTTTTTTCAATTGCTGAAGGTGAACAACGAGCTGCATGTTTTCTTCTGTTCTTTCGATGCAGAAATTCAAATTTCACCAACACAAAGCTGAAAGTTGTCTGTGGTGTTTTGGATCTGGAGAAGAAGGGAACTCACATCGATCTGGTCGACAGGATCATGAATTTCCTCATTGCACCGAAAAACAGCGGGAAGGTGAATCAATCATTGTTTGTTAACGACATGATACATAACGAGAGTTTTTATTTTCTTATGATGAAACACATTTAATTTCAATGAAGTCAGGTCAATGTTATCTTATCTTAAAGTTTAGATTCTGAAGCTTCTGTTTGTCTCTCGGCAGCGTCTCCCTGTGAAGAAGAAGAGGAAATCAAAGAAGAAACTGTCGGACGACAACTCGAAGACAAATACCAAGAAAAAGAGCAAATCCAAACCCAAGAGCTCGTTGTCTAGTCCCAAAAAGTCCAAAGCAGGAAGCAAGTCCAAAGCCATCGTCATGGACTCGAGCAGCGACGACGATGATGAGGAGGAGGATGAGAAGGTGGGGGCGTCGGCTGAGGCTGAGGGATCAGACACGGAAGAGAAACTGACAGAGAAAGAGGAGGACCAGTCCGACAAGTCGGAGCATTCTGCAGACGAAGAGGAGGACGATGATGATGATGTGAGATTTTCCGACCAAAGCACAAAAGTGGAACCTGGTGTTTCTGATGAATCAGCTGTGACTCAGCTGAGTCTGGAACGATCAGGATCTGAACAGATCAACACGATATTAATCAACAATTATTGTGAAATTTAACCAATTATTTAAATTCATTTTCAAGAAAGAAAGTTCATTTTTATTGTGTTTTAGTTTAGTGACAGTAAATTGAATATCTTTGTGTTCTGCACTGAATCATTCAGTTTTCCATGTTGGTTTTTAATCTACAAACTTTTTTGTGTCAGTCTTCGAAATCAGAGTCGAGCAGAGGGAAGAGTGCATCAAAAAAATCAGCACCAGTGAAAAGACAAAGGGCGTCAGCAAAGAAGACGGGTCCTCCTAAAAAGAGAGCGAAGAAGGACGTTTCAGACGAGTCAGAGTCCGACAGCGAACCTGAAGAGAAGGTAAAACTTTGTTTGTATAACTCATTGTCTCTGCTCCGCCCTGACGTCTACCACTGCAGTGACGCTGCACCCACAAGGTTTTTTCAGTTGAATAAAGAACTTCTTTTTTTTTAAACAGCCCAAAAAGAAGAAGTCTGCTCTGACAAAACCTGCGGCCAAAACAAAGAAGGCCGACAGCAGCAGCAACAGCAAAAACAACACAAACACAGGTGAGGTGGATCTCATCTAACTAAAGTTAATCATCTGCCTGCTGATAGAAAAGAGGAGACTGGGTGAATCAGCTGTCAGTGTAAGTAACGGACAATTTCCACGTGCAGCAGACGACAGTTCAGAAGACGACGAGCCGCTCATCAAGATGATCCAGAAAGCACCGACCGACGAACAGCTGAAGGAGACGGTCCAGAGTTTGCTGAAGGAGGCGAATCTGGAGGAGATGACCATGAAACAGATCTGTCAGAGGGTGAGAGGCCGCCTCCGCTCACAGGCCTGAGAACGGAGCTGAGTTATCTTTACATCCTGAACGTATGAAATTCATTTTTAAATAAATCATAAAATTAAAACACTTTCAGGTGTTTGACACTTTCCCAGAACACGACCTGACCAGCAGAAAGGACTACATCAAACAGACAGTCAAATCTGTGAGTATCTGAACACACACACACACACTCATATATATATATATATATATATATATATATATATATATATACACACACACACACACATATATATATATATAGTGTATAGAAGTCTGATGTTACGAACGTTCTCTCACAGCTCATCACATGAAGATCAGGAAACCAAGTCGCGTTGCTGTGAAACTTCATGGGAGAAAAGAGTTCAGCAGAAACGACTGAAAAGTTTGTTTCATTAGTTTTGTTTGTTTTCATAAAAAGCTGTTTTTTACATGATTGTTTTTTTATTATTATGAATGTTTCACATTAACAGTGCTCATCTTTTTTATGCTCTCTGGTCGAGTCCAAAGCAAAGTAGGAATATTTTTTTAATCAATAAAAAAAGGACAAATTTTCAAGCAAGTGGAGAAACAAACATTTCTTCAACTTTAAAAACTGTCGTGTAGTTTTCTTCTGTGAAGTCAACTTCAAGTCATGAAAAGAATTAAACAACTGCTTTGTTAGAAAACTGAAGGTTCATTAATTCTCTGATTTGACTTGATGCATTTGGCTTCAAATAATAAACAGTTTTTCAAAATAAAATGTGGTTTGGACATTTACCAATTCATGAGATGTTTTGTTTTTCATTTAAAACACATTTTTACAAACCTGATCTTTGCTTTTGACTCACATTTATTTCTGGATTAAAATTTGTACATTTCTAATTAGATTAAGTTATTTTTGAATTTACACATTTTGATTAATTGTCTTGTAGCTGAAACTGTCAAACTTTTTTATTGTGGATTTTTGATTTGTTCGTTTCCTTGGTTATTCTCTGTCAAACATCATTTACACTTTTCACGTTCATAGATTAACAGAGTCGTTTACTTACTGATTAAAATTCTACCTTTTTTAACAAAACAGTCTTAATGTTGTTTGAGTCACAGTTCTTCATTTAACCTGGACATTAGTGAAAGTTATAAAAAAAAAAAGAGGAAACATCATGAGGCCTATTTTCTGTGTGCAGAGGTTTTAATGTGGGACTGAAATCTATTCACACTGACGTGATGGGGACAAACATCAAGTCCTCTTAATGTCAACCATGAAATCTTAAGGTGTTAAAGTGTTTTAGGTTTAAGGTAAAGGTTCAGTGTGAAGAGTTTAGTGACATCTAGTGGTGAAGTGTCATGTTGCAGCTGAACCCCTCACCCCTCCCCCTCCTTCCAAACATGAAGAAGAACCTGTGGCAGCTTCAGTCGTTATAAAAACTCAAAAGGTTTTAGTTTGTTCAGTCTGGACGTAAAAAACATGGAGGCCTCCATAGAGAGGGTCCCCTCCATGTAAATATAAAGTACTTAAATATAAAG